CATCGATGCTGCCACTTGGCCAATCCATCTCGTTGGGGGATCTTCCTCTTTTTTTTTTTGACCCTCCACCATACCAAATATGATATTCATCTCCAGTGACTGGTCCCTACTGATAATATGTCCGAAGTATGGTGTTGGAGGAGAATATTGAAAGTGCCATGGGCTGCCAAAAGAACCAATAGATCCGTTTTGGAAGAAGTGCATCCACAGTGCTCCTTGAAGGCCAAGATGGCCAAACTTCGTCTTTCATACTTCGGATGTACTTCGGGCTTCCCTGTAGGTGCATGGATATTTTTCTATCACAGATAGCGTTGTACCTCATGACTAATATGGATATGTTCTTTTTAACAATGAATACAACACCATTCCTCTTCAATTTGTCATTCCCGGCATAGTAAACCAGGTGGTTGTCAGATTCAAAATGGCCAATACCAGTCCATTTCAGCTCAATAATGCCTAAGATATCGATGTTTATGCATTTCATTTCATTTTGACAACTTCCAATTTTCTCAGATTCATACTTCATACATTCCATGTTCTTATTTTCAATGGATGTTTACAACTGTTTCTCTTCATTTTGCGTTGTGCCCCATCAGCAAATGAAGGTCCTGAGGGCTTTTCTCCCATGGGCTTTACTCCATTTGCGTCATCACGGTCAACTCCTCTATGAGGAGGTAGTTCTTCCCCGGTCGCATTTTGAATGCCTTCCAACCTGAGGGGGTCATTTTCCGGCACTATATCTCACAGTGTTTCTATACTATTCAAAAGGTTTTCAGTAACTAAATATTTGGAAGTAGTTCGTCACTCCTTCTTCCTAGTCTGTTTTCGTCTGGAAGCTCATCTGAAACCTGTCCACCATGGGTGACCCTGCTGGTATTTAAAATACCGGTGGCATAGCTTTCAGGATCACAGTTGGACAAAGACACTTAACAACTAGAATTATTCAGATGACACATCTAGGTTGCTGAGAACTAAGAGGACTTGAAGCACTTACAGATGAAGATCTGAGACTACAGCCTTCAGTATGGATTACCCCTGAACATAAATAAAACAAAAATCCTCACAACTGGACCAATAATTAGCAGCCTGATAATAGTAAACTAGACTTTAGTTGTAAAGGGTTTCATTTTAATTGGATCCACAATTGATAGTTTTATCCTGGGTTTTCAAGTGAAGCAAAACCAATGAAGCTTATATACAGAAAACTTTATGTCAATGACATAATGGACACAGTTGTAGAGGCTCGCAATTCTAAGTTCCTGGGTCAGAAGTAAAGCTGGAAGCTTCTCCTGACTCAAGTAGCTACAGGAACAGAGGAACCCAAGATGAGCAGGTTGATGGCTGGCTTCTTCAGCTGCAGAGGTGAATGAATCCATGGTCGGCAGGTGAGATGGCAGCCTACTGACAGCAGGCAATACATCAAGTTGCTAGCTGGAGTCCAAAAAACTGGAGGTTGGATGACTAGCCATAAGCAAGATCCAGAACCAGCAAAAATCAAGGAAGCTTTTCCCACATGTCCAATATATTGGAATCAGACCACGCTCCCAAGGAAAATTCTTTTCAGGTGATTGGATGCTCGTAGAAGATCTTATCATGGGGGATGACTATGCCTTAACTGCCAAACCACTGAGAATGCTGGCCCAGTCAAGTTGTCACAAAACCATAACTATCACAGAAACCCATGAAAATAGCAGTAAAGAAATCAAATGACATTGCATTAGGGAAATCCGCTATAAAACACCACATTAAGTGTTTGAGGACTAAAGTGTGCCTGACCCAACTCATGGTATTTTCAATTGCCTCAGATGCATGTGAAAGCTGGACAAAGAATAAGGAAGATGGAAGAAGAATTGATTCATTTGAAATCAAAAGGGCAGCATTTACCCAAGGACAAAGTTCAAAAGACTTGGGGGGAAAAGGAGGAATGAAAACAAGAAACACAGGGAGGAAGTGGGATAAGTGATGTTACTTAAAGGGATTTCAATCATTGAGATGAAACAAAATGTATAATATTTGAATGTAAAATTAATGATATGATCTGCAAACCTTCACTCACTTGACATTAAAAAGAAAAAAAAAAGAATTGATGCATCATGTGAATTATGGTGTCAGCAAAAGATACTGACTATATCATATATCATAGATTGCCAGAAGAATGAACAAATCTGTTTTGGAAGAAGTACAATCAGAATGTTCCTTTGAAGTGAGGATGATGAAACTTCATCTCACGTTCTTTGAACATGTGTTTAGGAGGGATCAGTCCCTAGAGAAGGACATCATGTTGATTTAGTAGAGGGTGAGTGAGAAAAAGAAAGACAATAAAGATGGATTGACACAGTAGCTGCAACAATGAAATGAAACACAGAAATGAGTGTGAGAATGTTTTGTTCTGTTGTATACAGGGTTGATATAAGTTAGAGCTGACTGGAAGTTACTTAACAATAACAACAAAAAGCAGTGGACAGAATGCTAAACAAAGTTCTATAGGATAGTTGGCTTTGATACACTAGATTTAAGATGAAATAATCCCTTTGTTTTATAAATTGTACATATTTGAAACATCTTCATTAATACATTTTTAAAGAGTAGGCAAAGTGCACCTAGGTAAACCATCATTTGCTTCCTGAAAGGATAAAAGATAGATCTTAAAGACCTTGAGGTCTCACATCCTCACAGCTTTAGTAATTTAGCACAGAGCAGGATTAGCCAGTTGGAGTTAGCTCAAAATCAGAACATCTGGGTACCAGCCACTAGGTTCCAAACGCTTCTCTTTTTCTACAATGCCACATTTCCAATCAGAAAGCTTTCACAGATATATATTGAGTCGCATAGATATTTTATGTCTCCCACCCATTAGAGCATTCTAGATGCAGGAACACATTCTGTTATAGTAATCAATTTGAGATATAGTAAAAAAAAAAAAAAATGGTTGTTTATCTGAAAATCAAATAAAGCAGCCTTTATTTTACCTAGCAGCACTATTCTCTACAAAAATATCAGTTATAGTGCATGTAGACATCTACCTGGCCCAGACTGTAGGACACAGAGTTGCTAAAAAAAGTGTGCTCTTCCATTTCACTATTTGTAAGATTTTTCTCAGTAAGCCTATTTTATGTCTGTTTAGTGTGCATCTGTATATTGTGGTGCAACTTGTGTGCATATGTGCGTCCTTTGCATGGCACAAGAAAAGCAACTTTTATCCATCATAGTAATCTGAAGTACAACTAAAATGGCAAGTTATTGAAGGAGAAATTTTTTTTTGGATGTTGGCCTGAATTATTATTACTCTGCTTGTTTTCTGTCCATGTTGTTGTTGTTAAGTGCCATCGATTCGGTTCTGACTCATAGTGACCCTTTATAGGGTTTCCAAGGAGCGACTGGTGAGCTTGAACCACTGACCTTGTGGCTCAAACTGACCTTGCAGTCCAGTCTAGCGCATTAACCCACAGCCCATACCAAGACTCCATTCTCTGAATAGTCGGCGCCAAATCCCTTTTATTCTGAACAATTGGGAAAGTAGTTGTCTGTTTAGCTTGCTTAACTCCTAAATGATACTGTTAGAAAAGTATAGAGTACTCTACAAGCCCAATGAAAGGTATTGATGCTCAAAGGGCAAACATCATCTCTCATAGATTCTCTGCATGGTTTGTTTTACAAAGTATTTCTCTATGCAGGGAATCAAAAATGCTAAATCATTTGGTCTCCAACTTAACTAATTTTCTGTGACAACAACTGCTTTTATCTAGCTAAGTACCATGCCTTTTTGTTATCTAAATGTTAGACGTTGTTTTCAAATAAATAAAAAGTTATTGGTGTGGGGGTAGGCATGGTAAAAGAGAAAACCTGACCACCAATGTTTTCAACATAGCATAAAAGGAGTAGGTAATTTCAAATCATACAACCAAGAGTTGTGCTCGTAGCGTTATCAGTTAGAATACAGAGCCTTCAGGTAAATGTTAAGTCCAAATTCCATATTTGGGATATACTTATAATTGAAAAAAAAATACTGTTTATATGAAATTCAAATTTAACTGGGCATTGTATTTTTTATTCTTTCATCTGGCAACTCCGTGTGAGCTACAAAATGTACCTCATATTAGATATCTACCAATATCCTCTTTTTTGTTTTTCTAATTAAAACAATATGGGTTTTTCCCCCTAGAATCATGAGATTCAACCCATTACAGAATATGAATAAATTAATATGTTTCTAGTCAAAAAGTTTCCTTCTCATGAATATCCCTTTACAGTTGAAATCAGGTTCCAATCATTAAAATTACATTCTATAGTATCATTAAATGTATATTCTATAAGACATATAGTCTGAAAAGACCAACATTCACCTACCTGTGGGTAATATATGAGGAGGCCACATAATAAAATATTTCTTTTTTTTACTTCCTTTGAAAACTCTCTAATCTGCATTATGTTTTCCATTTTCTCACCAAAAGGCTCTGAATTATAATCAAGGAAATGCACCTGCAAAGTAATATAAATGGTTAGAGTCAGAATGCCATTTTCTTCAACTTTCCATTAGAAAAATAATACTAATGAAGTTCAAAACACATACAATTGTAACAAAGCAATTCTGTTGTTGCTAAGTGCTAGCTAGTCAGTTCTCATAGAGACTTTCTATAGGGTTTCCAAGGAGTAGCTGGTGAATTTGAACTATCAATCTTGCAGTTCAAACCAACTTTGCAGTCTAGTGCATTCTCCCACAGCGCCACACCAGGACTCCTTTGATGGCATATATTGCATATTAATTTGATAGACATTCAGTAACATTTCTTGGAGCTTTCCATTAAATATGTTTAATTGAAGACACACACACAGTTCCTTCTGAAATCTAAGATGGCAATAAAACCTTTTTTCCTTAATATAAACAATCCATAAAGAAAACAAAGGAAGAGATTAAAGAAGGAAAAACAAAACAAAAAATTTTGGATGAAAAATGGTGTATAGGGGGAGCAACACTAGCAAGATATGCTCAATATGAATGCTGGAATAGTCAATCACTCAAAATCAAAGAGGAAACATGTATCTAAGGACAATGGCAAGAAGGGATGGGAAGATGGGTGAGAGGGAAATAGGAGACCCAGGGAGGAGGCAGATGATTGTTGTTCCATAGAGAGGATTGCAATCATTGAGATGAAACTAAGTGTATTGTTTATTGAATGTAAAACTGATGATGTTGCTTGTAAACCTTCCCTCAACTCACAATAAAGAGTAAAAAGATATATATATATATATATAATAGTTTAAAAAAGAGAGAGAGACAGTTCTCTGTCCTATCTTGTTTTCTGCCATGGTATGATAATCAAAGTAGCAG